GCAATAAAAATAAAAAAGCCAAGTAAATATTAAGTATGAAGCAAAGAAGCAAATACCTTGTCTTGTTTGAACAGTTTTGGTAATTTCAAAGTGTAAAAAGTAAATACATTTCTACATTAAGTTTACATGAAAGCTTATTATTACTTCAGTCCTTTGAGATCAGTTTGCAAATAGATGCACTAAGGAAAACAGGTAATTAAAATTAATTCAATGCATGGAAGACTGATCATGAAACTTCAACAACGATACTTGCTATTTTTAGCTATCCTATCGCTAACTTTTAATTTTGGACAAGAGACCACTATTACACCTTTGGGAGAAGAGATGATACAGACATCCATTTGCAGGACTTCTCATAGTCCAACCACTACAAATAAAGCTTCTGTTCTCAGAAAGTGCTTGTAATAATGAAATACAGCTGTTAAAGCAGTTAAAAGGTTTTTCTCTACCGTAGTTCCTCCTTTTCTGTAGAGGTTTGTAACAGAAGTGGTAAGATTGATCCAATAGCAAGCCAGTCAAGTTGTAGCCAGCAAAGCTACATTCTTAATGGAAATCAGGTTATAAACTGAAAGTATTTATAATGAAATGAAACATTTAACAATCACAAATCCTACCTTAAAATGGTCCATCCAAAAGTTTTCAAACTACAGAATGTGAATGATTGCTGCCTTTTTCTGCTTTCATTATTTTACTTATGCAACTACATACAACCCTGACAAGCGCTACTTTCTAAACTCAGGAAAAAGAACTTGAGCATAGGCAATTTCGACAGTATCAGTTAACAGCACTACAAAACAGGCACCCAGGCCGTAACACTGAAAAGGATGGAAAGAAGTCTTGGCCTACAAATTCAGCAGTGAGAACACATACAAGAATGAAACCGTCTAAAACACAAAAGCGAAACATTAATAATAGGCAGCATAAGATGTAATAAATAAAACATCTGTCCCAATTCAGATGCAACAAGTGTTCGACAGTAAGTTGCTTTATGACTGCCATCAAGCAACAGCAGATTTCTAACAATGTACACAGTGCCTGATGCCTCTTCTGAAAGGGACAGTGAGGAGTGAGGCCAGCAGAGTGGGGCAAAGCAGAGCATAACTATTGCTGAAGACGACTACCAGTCACCTCAGCTGTTAACAGGGTAAACTGTGGCTTGCCTCTGGCCAGCTTATTGGAGCTCAAAATATATCTTGTCACAGGAAGAATTCGTCCGAGTCTCATGAGAAACTAGTGAAGCTGAACATGAAATAATGTCAAGTAGTCAGGAGAAAAACTCTATCAATGAAGTAACCTTAGCTTATGCATGGTTTTCTACTTACCTTCTTTTAACAAATGGATCTGACACACTTTTACAAAAGCTCTATATACAAGTACCAGTATTACCCCTTCATTATCATCACATAAGCAGATTTTTCTCTCTGATTTGCATTTGTGTTTTCCTTAAAAAAGTATTTATCTCTGCTGGTGTATCTTTTATTTTTCCCTTTCTTTACTGTGCCACGTGCAGCAGGGTCAAAAGCCTATGGCACACATGACAAAGGTAACTAAGGCAGATTTTGATTGTCATACAGTACAGATTTACATATGTGTCAGAAATTAAACAGCTGCCAAATCACAACTCCTACTCTCTAAAATTGTATGCAAGACCTACTATTGTGCTTCAGTCAAAATTTCTGAGAGGCTCATAGTAATCACCAAGCTGGAACTCAGCAGGAGACGTGAGATATAGCAAGACAGTGCTTGTCAGTAAGAAAGTATCTGTGAGAGCAGAAGCATTTCTTTCTCTCTTCCCTCCTGGAACTCCAAACTCAGCTAGAGATGGGAAATGTATTGGCGTGTGAGTGATCTGATATGGGAAAGGAAACAGTTCACTAGATCATTCTTGGCAGACTGTTGACCTCCAGCACAGAGGACTAGAGGACATGTTTTTTGGAGAAAAAAAAAGTATGGCATTGATTTTTCTAAATAAGATAGAGATTTTATTTTGCTTTCTGTGCTGAACTGAAACACTAAAACAAGCCCAAATTACTCTCTCCTATAGAACAAGTTGAACGGAACACTCCTCTAACTAAAAAATACTGCAGTAGATTTCTAGGTATCATATGTTCAATACTAATAATTCCAGCTCTGGGGTTCACCTTTTAAGCTATGATAGTAAAATGACAGTTTTCAAGATTTGTTCCTCAAGTTAGCCCTCTGAAATTTTCTTCAGGAAAAAAAAACCCTTTAGATCTAATAATCAAAGAAATCAAAGATGTCAAAGATGCTTTTAATGACAAGAAAACCAGCTGGCATTCCTTACCTTATTGGTACGTACTAGCTAACACTATATTCATTATTACAATAGTCTACAACATTTTGCTATAGCATTACACTGTTCAGCCATGTTATTTTCATCAGCAGACAAAAACCCCAACTGCACCTATATAAACTTATTTTCTTACAAATTCGTGAATGCAAAGATTTTCCTAGTGATTTCCAGGTGCCCTCTTTCTCACCCAAGTACTGCAATTGGCAATTTAGCCAAACAGTGCAGGTGATGCTGGACGACCAGAAAGGGGAAAGGGCTGGGGTGTTGGGAGAGCAGGCTCTTATGAAGGAGCTGTTATAATCAGCTAGGAGACAGAGCAGCATGGGACAGGGTGTTACGAAAGGTTCAAGGGACCTGGGCAGTTAATGGGGAGCTGTTTGAGTGAGAGAGCTGTAGGAGGGGGAGTGGTATGAGGAGGTAAGTAGGTAGGGGGGTCATGTCCACAGATGTTACTACCACCTCCTACTTCTTCTATCACTGCACACTTTATTCTCAGGGCTGCAAGTGCAGAATACTGCCACCTCCAACCACCTGGGAATGTCTTACAGAAATACGCTCAGGAATCTACATGCTCACATAATATACTACTGAAGTGGTCAAGGCACCCACAAAAATAGCCAGCTTCCAGAAGTGAGCCTAAACAAGAAAAGTTAAGCAGAATAACCAAAATAAAAGGAGACAACGAATCTGTGTAAACGTATGCATCAACTGACAGAATCAAGATGAAAGCTATGTATTTGATGGGAAGAATTACAGAAAAAATAAAGTACATGATGTTGGCATATTGGGATGGTAGCACACAAACTATGCAGAAAAAAAGAAATCAATTCTGCCTTCTTTGTGCAGGACAAGTAAGTGAACAATCATTAATACCCAAATAACTCTGAAGTTTAACATGCATATTATTATTGACACACATAAGATAACACTAAAACAAAGCTTTTAGTAGGATTCAGAGAATAATATATACATCCCTTCCCCCCCCAAGTAGAATAATTCACATTACCAACATACCAAACTGAAACTGAAAGTAGTTCTGTTCACAGATACAAATATCAGATAATAATTGATTAAAAAAAAAGCTACTAAGTTTTTCTCGAGCAGCGAGTATTAACTATTCCTAAAAATGGGCCTTGGCTTTGGTTTGGCATAGACTCTCTCCTGTTCATTTCTTTTCATCAATCCTTTCATGCAATGTATGCCAAATGATGTGATCGCCAGCAGTTATATACAGTCAGAAGAAATTCTGTGATTTCAGAATAAAAGTGATTTACTTCAGAAAAAAAAACTGAGTTTGCATAAATGCTTCAGTTCAGAATAGGATTTAATTTTCTAATCCATAACAGTATAATATTTCATATTAAATACTGTATGCAATATCATCTTCCAAAATATACGTCACTGAAATATTTCTATCATGAAAAGGCCAAGTGTAGCAAGGTATTTTTAAGGCATGAGGCCCTAGCATCAAGATAAGGCTTGCATTTTAGAAGTTTTCCACTCCCTCCTCCGCTGTGAAACAAACATCTTCCCCACTTTTGGAAAGCAAGAGCAAAATAATGGAGGTGGTTTTGATGCAACGTACAGCTGACAGATGTCCTGTGAATGGTTTCTAAGGAAAATATAACCCAACTGCAACGTCAGAAAGAAAAATTTACACTATCCAAACATCCTTCTTTATTGGTAAAGGAAAAAGAAGCCACGAGGACAGATCTTGCTCAGGGGACACTTTAAAACTTTACAAACATAGCGGGTAGGTCAAATTAAGAGGACAAGAATCAAAAAGATATGACAACAACATTGTGAATGGCAACTTTTACTAACAACATCTACCCCAGAACTTCTGTACAGACATATGATTCATCCAAACGCTTTCTATGCGCAACATATAAAATTATCTTCATCTGTTTCTGCCATTACGACCATTTCTGAGACTGCTGTTTTTCTCAGAGTGCTTAAACTACCCTGCAGTGGCAAGAATTTCAGAACCCCGATCGTGAGTTTACCTCCTGGCACTGCAGAGAGTTTTTGCTACTACAACACAGCACTTCTGAATCTTTCAATCACAGCTATAAGCAGTCTGGAACACCTATGCAGATAACTTTTTATAATGTTTACTGACTGTTTGATGACATTAGGATACAGAATGGGAAGAGATTCAGAACAGGGTTCTCCTCTCAGATCGCCCATACAGAAAGGAGCCTGGTTTCCTGCTACGTAAAAATGTTTTTAACATTCTTTTTTAAATAAGCAACAAAGGAAGAAATACCCAACTTTGTGGGGTTTCGTTTGGTTTTGTTTTGGGTTTTTTTAAAACTAAAAACCAAAAAATTAAAGCATACAGAGAACAGAAGCTGTTGAAAAAACAAAGCAATGAATTTGAGTTTATAAAAAAAACCACCCCTTCACACCTGAACAACAAGCTGATGTGCTTATTATCATCACAGCAAGTGAATAGAAAGCTAAATGTCAAGTATTACTACAGATATAGGTCAGCAATTTCTATTGTTAATGCCATTCAGCAGGTACCCATGGCAGGAGGTAAAGTCACCTAATCACAATTTCAGTTGCTTAAAACAAGTCAGACTGTTTCACTCTTTTGCTATTTTACCACTGAATAAAACTGCTGCTTGGTAGAATTCATTTTAACCAAAGAATAAAGAAAGAAAAAAACAAAAACACTTACCATTGTGATGAGAATTCTATATTTATCCAGCATTGCCTGGTTGTCATGGCATCCTGCCAGCAACTGCCAAACCTCTGCCCTCAGTGCTTCTGGAACACCGCTCTTCACTAGGGTAGATAATCCATTTGGTCTCACAACAAGATTATTGTGCCTGAGAAACAGACAATCATTTGCCTATTATATTTCAACAACACGAGTAGAAATCAAGATAAAAATATGAAAAGTTTTTCAACTTTCCAATGTTATTCTGAAAAGTACAGTCAGCAACTAGCAACATAAAGTTTTCTTCCACTGGTTACACTAATTAGTATTTGTCAGATGGAAAGCAAAAACTTTGCCAGGATTTACAATAAGAACCATGGCAAAATGTAGTGATATCCAAATTCTCTAGGTTTCAAGAAATTAATGAAAATTAGAACAATAAATAATTGCAGAAGTTGAACCAAACTGGCTAATGAAGAACAATTTGACTTGACAGAGAAAACCATGCCAACTGTGCAGACAATTCAATTTAAATATTTGTTCAACATAGACACTTAGCTTAGGTTAAGAAAATAAATTTAAAATAACCTAAGCTGCATAGGGAAATGAATTTTGGAAAACAAATAAAAGCCAGTTTTCAGAGTACTAACATAAAGACTGAAGTTCCAGTTTAACACTTAATGCCAAGAGTACGTTGCAAGTCCCACAAAGCAGTAACACTTACACACACCTTGGTAAAATCCCACCATTCCAAATAAATCTGCCTATTAGTTTGAGCTGGTGTTTTACTATCTGTTTATACACATGACAAGAAATGTAGGAAGACAGTTGCAGGATGATTTGTTTTATTTTTCAACACTGCGTAATTAATCCTACACAAGTTTGTATATAGACCTATGAAAAGGCTGTATTCAGACAGGTTGAATGCTAAAGATGTGTTTATCAAAAATAATCCAATCACTGAGCCCATATATTTAGGATAAAATCACTGCACATGCACAATATTGCAGAGCTTTCAGTCACAGATGTTCAAAAATCCTTTTTGAGATAATAGTGTTTACTGATATAGATGAAACCTCACTTTGACTTATTATGGCAATTTTCATAGCAATGCAGCAGGAAGACCGCGTGAATTGACTCTTTTTTTTTTTTTTTCTTTCTAATGTAGGAAGTGCTTTGCTCTCTCATTGTTTTGACCATTGTTATGTTTTTCAACTCTACTGGTAGGAGAATAGTGAGAGTGGCAGTTTAGCCAAATGCTAGCAAGCTGCGATTAAATTAAATAACCTGTAATTTGACCTTCAGTTTTAAGTAAATGTTTAGAGTAGTCATTCTTTGAAACTGGTCATTAAGATGTGAACAGTTTACCACTACTGTTTAAATTTAAAAGGTGCTCTAAATAAGTTTCTTTTTCCTATACTCAGGGGACGATATCGCCATTTTTCCAAGTGACTTGAGAATTAAAAAAAAAAATAAATAAAATGAGCATGATTATATAATGGCCTGGTTCTTTTAAACACAATAATTATTTTAAATTTTAAATGCGTAGTGCAAGAAAAGTAATTTCAAACTATCATTCGGTTAGCCAATTAAAACCCAACTAGTCCCTTTTCCCTTAGACCCTAGATTAATGGTCTTGTGATAGGAAAAAACTAGAAAGAAAAAACAATATCCACAGAAACATTAAAAGCACTAGACACTAGAATTATGAAATATACATTCAGGAATAAATAAACAAAGTACACCAGAAACTTAAAGCTCAAGTTGTGTGAAAATGAAGCATTCATAGCACACTTCAAAGCAGATTAGTTTGGTTATTAGCATGGATTTGGTCATATGTATTATATATGAAACACAGAAGGCCACCTCTGAGGACTCAGCAAGCAGATAAAATAAAATTAACAGCTAAAAAAGTGCATTCCCATATAAATGTAACAGGAAATTTTCCAGTGACACCAAGAAAACAATGCAAATAATTTATGGCAACAACTAACAGAGGTGCACATTCCTTCCATGCTCTAATGCCATCCTTTCTACCAAACATTCACAACTGAGAATTAAGCATCCTACAGTACACCAGATTTTACTGGATTTGTCATCTATTTAGAGAGTTTTACATTAGAGGTAATACTGGAGTACTGTGTCCAGTTCTGGGCTCCCCAGTTCAAGAAAGACGAGGAACTCCTAGAAAGAGTCCAGAGGAGAGCTACCAGAATGATAAAGGGACTGGAGCATCTCCCCTACGAGGAAAGGCTGAGAGAGTTGGGCTTGTTCAGCCTGAAGAAGAGAAGACTGAGAGGGGATCTCATCAATGCATACAAATATCTTAAGGGTGGAAGTCAAGAGGACGGAAGCAGTCTGTTTGCAGTGGTGTCCAGCGACAGGACTAGGGGCAATGGATGCAAACTGAAACACGAGAGGTTTCAGTTGAATATGAGGAAGAACTTCTTCACTCTGAGGGTGGCAGAGCACTGGAACAGGCTGCCCAGGGAGGTTGTGGAGTCTCCTTCTCTGGAGATATTCAAAGCCCGCCTGGATGAAGTCCTGTGTAGCATGCTCTAGGTGAGCCTGCTTTAGCAGGGGGGTTGGACTAGATGATCTCCTGAGGTCCCTTCCAACCCTTACGATTCTGTGATTCTGTGATTAGTCCACGCAGCAAAGCATAACTCTAACTTTAATAGACAACTTATCAGTTTCTGAACATCTGTTTGGGAAACAGCTTGATCATTAGTAATCCTTGCTCTGTGTTCTACAATAACGAACAAACACACATTTTTCCCTCCTTTGTCTAGAGGCCCAGGCACCTTACATTGCTAGACACTTTCCAACACCTGCTTGGCCAGACTATACAGAAACAAGCATAAAATAAAAGCTGGTCTTAGTCTTATCCTCTAGCACGTGGGGAAAAATGGGTCATTCATGGATGACATCTTTAATTTGTTACAAAGTGCTGTAAGTCTTCTGCGCAAAATTCAAAGACATAATTTTAAAACATCAAAGAGCAAGGATACAGAACAGCGATGCATAGACTATGCTCCAACTTAACAAACAAGTATTTCTGGTTAAAGACTGCTATTGACTATTACAATTTTTTAAAATAACAAACAAAAAACCCCCCCCAAAACCCATCAGAAACATTTAAGTACTCAGCTAAACTAGTTCAGCTTGCAAGAACAAATTTAATGCTGAGGATGCACTAAATCATAAAACAAATTAAAATATACTCCATTACTTTCCAACTGTTCATTTTATCTTTTTGGTAA